AAAAGGATAAGAAAAAAAGGGCATATACAATACCTCTATATTATATTATTCAGATGACTCAGTCCTTAAAGTCCTATTTTATGCAAAGTTCTTGGTTTCACATATGTTGGGGATGTGAGGGCCGGAGGATAGAGAGGTAGAAAAGAAAAAACAAACAAACAACTCGAAGGAAGAAACTAGGGTTGTAGCTAGCTTTAGAGATCTGCATCTTTCCTGCTTCTCTTCTCATACTGTAGGTGAGGTAGACTGTTGTAACCTGCTGTCTCTGCCCTCTGGATGGTGGAGGTAACCAGGGTGGGAAGACTGGTCCTGGCACAGGGCAACTGGATGTGGGGAGTGGCACCCTCTAGTCCCTGCAGAAAGACTGCACCTCACGGGTCTCTTTCTGGGACTGCTTGTATGACTTGAGTGCCTGGTACTATCTCCCTCTCTTGCCTGGAGATTTCCCAGTTCCTGGTCTCTTGTTAGGCTCCAGACTTTAGCCCTGTCTCCCTCTCCCCTAGCAGTTCTCAACTGAGGAAACTCTGACCCTGGGGACTCCTGTGGGCGGCTCCCTGATCGCACTGCACACCTGTGTTAGGCAGCTACTGTGTTGGGTTACTGCCGCTGGAGAAGGGGGAAGGTTGGAAACCTGGTACCTGGCCATTTGATATCTGATCTGGGAACTGCTCCCAGCTAATTTGGCGAGAATGTTGAGTCAAGATGGCAGTGGTGTGCTTTCAGTGACGGGATGTCTGGTGACGTGGGGGGAGCCTAGGGAGCCGGGCGATGGTGTTGAGCTGAGGGTAGGTAGCAGCTGAGTGACTTGTGTGGGAGCTGTGTGAAGTCTTGGCCATCTGCAGATGTGTTGATAGATGATTCTGCTAAGGCTCTCGTCAAGTCTTGAGTGGGCTGGAACTTCAGGCTTTGGGTCCTGCTCCAAGACCAGGTGTCCTATTCCAACGCTGAGACCTGGAGACCCCTGTGGGGTCACAATGCTGGGGATTTCTGTTGAGAGCAGCTGAATAGGGGTCCTCTAACACTCTCAGAGATGGAGTATTCCAACTAGGTGAGATCTGCCTGCACGTCAGTGCAGGGCACAGGGCGGCTCACTCCCTTCCCGCCACCATGTTTTTCTGGAGAAAAAACATGCCAATTTCATCATCACACAGAGAACTATTTTAGTGATTAAGTTATTAAATATAATTATTTGACATATTATTTTAGGTGGTAAATTTATTATAGACTGCAATTTTCAGATTTGGTAAAAATATTGATTTTTTTCGTTTATTCATGCATTTATTCATCAAATATCATAGCACTACTCTAAGAGTAGTGAAAACAAAAATTATCTTCTGATATGTCTTTCTAGCAAACAGAAAGTATATCTATAACATCTCGTGAAGCTCAAGTATTTCTGCATCGAAAGAATATTGAATGTACTCTTTGCAAAATATTACTTTTTAAAGTTTGATTTGCATATTGAGCCTTACTGTTTTTTTTTTTTTTTAAATATATTGTTTTAGTTGAAGATGGACACAATACCTTTATTTTATTAATTTATGTGCTGAGGATTGAACCCAATACCTCACACGTGCTAGGCAAGTGCTTAACCACTCAGCCCCAGCCCCGGCTTACTGTTTTTTAATAACATTATTATTACAGAATATACTCTAAGCCTATATCAGAACACTGTCTGAAATGAATGTTAGGTTATGAATGAGGCAAATACGTGTTTAATAGTTTATAATCTAGATAAATTAAAGAGTCCAGTTTATAAAGCCTTAACACCTTTTTCCTTACATGATGCTTGAAAACATAAGGTTTGATTTCATTTGCATGCAGAAAGCAGTAATTTACCAGTCTAGTCATAGAATCATTATTCCATCAGGAAGGATTTCCACGAGGTTCCAGATTTGTTTCCCTTTATCAAAAGTGTAGTATTCGTGGAAAACTGTAAGGCAGCTCAGTAAAAATAAAGTAGTAGAACTTTTTAAGGATTGAGTTTTGCTTGGGTCATTTAATTAATTTGTTTATTTAGAGGATTTAAGAAAGTGAGGGCTCTTCTGATTTGAATGTTGTCAGGAAGCAGGGGCAATTTGATGATAAGAATGAAATTGAGCTGAAATTTTCAATGGAAAAGAAGTACTCATGTTAGTGGAGAAAGGGCTATATCTAGTCATTTTTGTGGTTACATAATGCTTTTGTCTCCTCAGAAATGACAGTGGTTTTATGTTGATTTGGGTTTTTCTATTTCATGACTTTATGTGATATTGCTTTTAAAGAAATTGTAATGTGTTCATATTATTTATGGGGACTACAATAATTTAGGTGTTAATTGCCATTTAGGCTACCCCAGTGTCAGGGCTGATTGTCTTGTTTTTGTCTTGTTTGCTTTGTTTGGGCCTTTCCCCCATAGAAGTAAAACATATTATTAAAGTATGACACCACAAAAGGGTATGGTTTGTTCTGGTATGACTAGAAGGAGGGGTACATGTGGGCAAGGTTAATATCCTCAATTTGTATCATAACAGTAGTTTAATGATTGATTAGTAGAATATAAGACGGACAAGGACAGTAGTTTAAGAATAGTTCATTGGTCATTGTTTTAGAAGAATAACAGATGTCTGAACTAAGGCAACAATCATGAAGATAAAGATCAGGGAATATGTTTTGGAAATAATTTGATGTTCAAATCAGAAAGACTATTTATCAGTAAGATATTACTTCATTCACTGATTGAAGAAGGAGTGAAGGAGAGAGGAAAAGTTAAGACTGACTGCTTACTCATATTTGACTCATGTGATTGAGCAGATAGTTGGTACTCTTTAGTAAAATAGGGAATTCAGGAAGAAGAGAAGATTTGGGAAAAATAATGAGTTCACTTTTGAATATAATATGTATAGAATACTTAAGATTCAGAAACTGGTTGAATTTGCACATAGGTCCTTGATTTGGAAGTATTTGCTGACAAATTATTAAATAGTAAAGGATGCAGCTAATTCCCTTACTGGTAAAAGGTAATAATACTCCAAATTTGACAGTCAAAGATTAGTGGTCATGTAAGAGGAACTGTCTAGAAGATCTAGTGTCCGTATGTACCTTAGATTTCCTTTTCTTCAGAGGGATCTCTTAGCAATCACTACTGAAATGCTCTTAATGACTGACTTCTGGGACCTGGTGTCATGGGTCACTGCTCTCCATTTTCTTTTGCAATCTGAACTGAATTCTTTTCTCAATTTCCTACAACATGGCTAAGAAACAATTATGTTTAAACAAGACTTTACTAACGGTTCAAGAAAGCAATAAGAAAAATTGTTACTGAAAGTAATATGCACTTAACTCATCTGGCTATGAAATGTGCCTGGTGTTTGTATGCTGTACTGTATACCCTTTGTAATCCCCATGGGGAGATCTGTCTGAATAGCCTCCCAGCCTGCATAATACCAATTTCCTTCCATCACAAAACACACCCTTGAACAAGGCTAGATACCTTAAAGTTTAGGCCCCAAAATGCAGGGGCAGAAAAGCCATTCCTTTACTCCCTGATATCTCCATCTTCCCAGTCCTGTATCCTCTTCCTAGGAATCCTTCCTCTTTGGGGAATAACATCAGTACTTTCAGAGTATACTTAACTCTACCCATAGAAAATAATAGAAGATTTAGGGTATAGTAGATACAATGCCTGCTTAGTTTTAGATTATTCCTTAAAATTACTTATTGCTCAAAGTCCCTGGTAAAAAATATGGATCTCTCTAGTCTTCAAAGTTGTACCATATGCTCTGGACCTTCAGGCTCAGCTAATTGGATCAATAGTAGACACATAACCCAGCGAATACCAATCCAAAGGGTGTTGAGCCAAATTCTATTCTCTCTCTTAGAATTTGGAATTAAGACCTCAAGAATAACTTCATGTTACTCATTACCAAATAATGTTGGGCCTGGGCTAGGATGGCCATTTTATTCAAATTCATGCTGATGATTGAACAGTGAAAGCCACTCTATAGACAAAAGCAGAGAAAGGGAGCAAGTGACAAAAGAAGTAGGCAAAAGAGACGGTGATTCCATTTGAGATAAAAATTGAAGTCTTATAGTTGTTTCAGTCCTCCTCTATTAATATTTTGTTCCCAAACTGAGGTTGTCAATAAAGGCTTACGATAAAACTATCTTATTTAGATCAGTTCAAATGGACGACTGTTTTGTTGTTGTTTCCCTTATCTTTACAATCAGAATTACTCTGACATAATGGGGTATGATTATAGGATTGACTTGGTGGGGCATGTACTATCTCTAATGGTCCGTAATTGATTGAATTGTAGGAAAAATTTACCATCATTTTGTCAAATTAATAATATCAGGATATCCGAAATGTTAAAATTTTTTATTTAGAAAAAAACTGGATCATGAATTTTGCACATTGTTTTTTTCATGTGTATAAACTTGGAATAAGGATGTTTCTTGATTCTTTAAAGGTATATATTGTCAAGTTTTAGTAGTAGTAGAAGTTTTTGTTTGCCACAGAATAATATTGTAAAATATCTATTAAACAAATTCATGATAAAAGCATCATGACAAATTCCTGAGCATTTGTTATTTACTATAAATACTACCATTTTAAGAAAAGAATATGTATGCGTCAGTGGCTTAAAAATAAATTATGAACTTACCTATTTATTCACACTGATTGTGTCATGATAAAGATAATATTATCTGTTGCAATTTCTTTTTAGACAGTCTTGCTGTATTGCCTATGCTGGCCTCACACTGGAAATTCTCCTGCATAGTCTTCCTGAATAACTGGGATTATAGGCATGTGCCACTATGCCCAGCTGCCTTTTGCCATTTTTAGTAGCCATTTTATACCATTTAGATTCTTCACATGTAGGCAGTTCTCTTGAAAGAATACTATACCAGTAGCCATTTTATGATAATGTTTATTTTTCTTCCATCTGTAATTAAAGTTTATGGACATGGATGCTATTGTGAAAGGAAAAGGTGACATAAAACTTATTTCTTCTCAGATAGAAAAAACGAAGTGGAAGCATCAGCAAATATTCCTCTGTCCTCTGGTTATAGTACAGAAACAGATTCAACGCCCAGAGCTTCAACTGTTATTTACAGTGGTTTGAAAGAGACTTCAGAGGTAAGAAAAACTGACAGCTGTACAGATGATCTCCTTTCTAAGGTCAAGAAGATAAGCAAGCATTCACTTCAGTTGTATATGCTATTATCAGGAAAAAGCAAAACTATGTAAATCTTAATCTATCAAAATTCTTTGTGATAAGTAACAATAATCGATGCAATATTTCAGACTGTGTTTTATATATTCATGGTCCGTCTTTGAGGATGATTTACTTTGAGAAATCGCCTAAATTTGTTGCTTTTTAAATTAAAGGAAACAACAATCCAGAAATTGGAAAGGATGAAAAAAATGTAAGTAACAGAAAGGGGCAACAGAAATTAATTTCTCTGTAGGGAATTGTATTGGATTACAATATATATAGAATGTGCATGTGTTTCAAACCTTAAAGGTCTCAATCAGGTGTGGAATTTCCTTCAAGACTCCAGTGGATAATAAATCCACCTACAATTATGTGTTTGTGAGATGAGTCACTGTTTTGGTTTCCAAGAAGTGGTATAAAACATTGTTAATGGAATTAACTGTGGATTAAAGAGTGCAAAGATATTTTGGGTTGATAGTTAATCGAGTTATCTTTTTTTGATAACTGACTTATCAAAATATTAAAAATATATAAATAAATGGTTTAAAGCATCTTTTTCAGTAAGTTATTGATAAAGTAATACTATTGACAGTACTTTAGCTCAAATGACATTACACCTGGTATTTTTTAAAGACCAGTTCAAAGGAAATACAAAATGAAATTTTATAACAATATTATACAACCTGCTACATTAAAAACTTAATATTTTGAAATGTGAGAAGTGTTAAAATAACTCATGCTTCAAGAATTGACTATATTTTGTCTCCTATGGTATACTTAAGTTTATTAATAGCAACTGTGCCTAAAAGTAGGGAAAATATTAAAATTTATTTTAGACTCAAAAGCATACTCTTAACAATTTAAATCCTGTTCTTCATTATGAATCATTTATTTACATAACATATCATTTGTTTATTCTATTTCAGGTTTGAAGAAACAGCAGAGTTACTGAAATGCTCAAGTCACTAATTGTAGAATTTCCTGCATGAACCTCTCTAGAACTTTGACTACTGTACATGTTGTATATTTTAAGAATCTATATAATTTTAATATACTGCAATTTTTATTAAGAATTTGAATTCCATTTGATATGAGTTTTTCATTAATTATTGAATAAATATTATTTTTGAGCTTTGATTATACTGCTTTACTCTCCTTCACTTTTCTTAGGAAAAACTTATGTTTCAGTACATTACCTTTACAGAGTGAAGTCATTACAGCAAGCACTGTATTTTTGTGTTGACATTTGTTGGCAATGTGCTAAGTAATATGTTTTTTAAAGTACAGACTTGAGGACCATAGTTTACATCCTGTTGGAAACATTCCAGCTAGGACTTGCATATTGTACCCAAGAGGCTCTCGTACATACCATCTTGCCATCTGTGCTAACGAATAAGCGGTAGTGAAAAGTTAAAAATGCTCATTGAAAATTAAAGCTAAAAAATACATCTATTTTATGCTTAGTCAAAAAGCAGCAATACCTTTCCAATTAACACTGAGAATCAGGGTATGATTCTCTTTTTGTATTGAAAAGGTTCTGAAAGATCACTTTGAGAGATGTGTTGAGTATTTAAGTTCCCCGGTGTATAACACATTTTAACCAGCAGCACAGATGTAGATGGTGGCTGTCAGAAGATACACAGTGAATTTTTTTTTCTCTTCATGGAAGTTGTAAATATTTTCGAATAGTAAAAGCCTTAGATGAAGTTAAATCAAGAGAAAATGAAATTCATTTTAGAAATTATTACATAGTATACTTCTAAACTTTGTAAATAAAAATATACTAATAATCCTAGGCAATACTCAGGAAACTTGAAGGATAAAAAGTTTTTTTTTTCTTTTTTATCATATAGAACATCTGATTGCATCCTACTCATCTGTTTTCAATACATATATCTAATTTGATTTTCACTGGTGAACAGATAACTTTTTTGAAAAAGTATTTTTAATATCCCAACAAATGTTGTCACTAGACTTTTAAAACTATTAGCTTTTTATGTTAGCCTATTAAAGAATATAACCTTGAATTTAGCAAAGTTTTAATAGTACATCCAAAATTAATGAATCCTGTTAGCTTTATTTTATCAATTACAGGAGAGCATTTATAAAACTCCACAGTTTTGAAAGAACAATACATCAGCTTCTATCAGTTCTAGTGTGGAATTATAGCACCACCTTGTGGTTGATACGCTAATATTTTACCTTTTCTTGAAACAAGTGATTTCCCATAAAACAGAATCTTATTTTTCCTTTCGAAAAAACTGAATTCCAATTTTAAAAATAAACATTTTTGAAGTTTTCTTGTAGAAGACAGAAGAAAAGGTAAGTTCCTTTTTCTCTTTCTGTAATCCTCCTTTTTTCTTTATATAGTATAAATGTAAACAAAATTTAGATGTTTTAAAATATTTTAATCTAACTTATTTCTAATATTAGAAAATATGTGTCTATTGAAAATGTAATAAGACATTTTTTATTTATGTTACCAAGTAGAAATTTGGAATCCAAATTTGGAATCCAGCTTAGCCAGGAACAAACAAAACAACTCATATAACTATATATGTTTACACTTACAAGAGTATACTATTTTGAACACATAATATTTACAAAAATAAAGCAAGTTTGATTTAAGCTAAGTTACTGAAGAGGATTGTCAAATTATTTCTTATTCTAACTCTTTTAGAAATAGTAGAAACATTTTTCTATAGGTAATTTGGTCAGTGGTTTATAACAATAAACCAGCCCCTTTGGGGAGTTTGAGAAGCTGAGGTGGGGAAGTCCTGGAGAGATTATCTGGGGTTACATAATTGACCCTTAGTTAACTGTAAGTTTTATACTACCAACAAAGGTGTCAGTGGCTTGTGCTGCCCTGTTTACACTGTACAGTCCAAATAGTCTGGGTAGAGACAATATATAATACCACGAAGAATGCATATTGTGTAAAGTACTAGTAAGAAAGTGTTGAAAATAAGTAATGCCAACTATATGAAAATTCTAGGCAAAGTTAAGGTCTATTATGTTAGGAAAAAGTAGTTCTATCATGTTTGTTTTACTTCACTGTTTTAATGTGATGTTTTAACATGTAATATATTCCTTGAAAAATAAAACTTAAAGACTTTGGAACTGTGTTTTATGCCATTCATTACTCAGAGCTTTATATAATTGATTGGCACTTGGAGAAGCATTAAAAAAATAAAAGGACCTTGTCAATTTTATAAACTACAACACTTTTTTTAAGCTCAAATTACATTATAGCTTTAATTTTTACATTTTAACAATTCCCAGGTTTCTCTGTCTCTTTTCTTTCAATCCAAAGAATGCAGAGAGAATAAAGTGGTAGAGGTAGTATAAATTTTTAAACTACAAAATTAAACTTTAATTGTTATGACACTTGAACTTTAGTGTTTATAGTGAAAATGATAGGCTTCTTATGCCACTCAAAAAGAGAGAAAGCAACTGGAAACTGTCCATTACTGACAGCAGTATTTAGAACGTGCAAGTTTTTTTTTTTGTTGGGGAATTTTTAAAATTATATTTTATCATGATTTATATTTGTAATACTTGTAGAAATGGGGCCTATATAAATGTATATGTCCTTTTTCCTCACTGAAGTTCACTAACTCATAAATAAAAATATTTAGGTAGATAGGTTTTTTATTCTTTAATTATTGATACATATTTGAATTGTTTCCAGTTTGTCCATAATGCTGTTGTAAACATTCTTGCACATGGTGAACATAGTTAGGCATTTCCATTGTGTATATGCCTAATCATTTTTTTTTCTTTTTCTTTGTTTGTTTTTAGATATACATGACAGTAGGGTATATTTTGACATACTTACATGGAATGCAACCCATTCTAATTTTGATTACATTCTTGTGGTTATACATGATGTGGAGTCACACTGAGCATAGGAACAATAATTAAAATGTTTGAGGAAACGAATGAAGATGAATTATTTTAACAAACATTGCTTGGGCACATTTTTCTCAGCCATGATTCCTTATCTGTGGTGTTAAGAACTCTCCTTATAACACCTTTTACATAAGAATTTTTTTCTGTCTCTGGTGATGAGATGTTTCTGTTCTCCTGGTATGGGGTAGGGATGGCATAGTGCCCATTTTGTATCTGCTATTTTTCAAGTGCCTTTAGCTTAAAATAATCCATTTGACAAAAGTGGCATATTTTGTAGTGGCATATTCTGCCACCCTTCACTATCAAAAACAGAATACGAAATCTCACTTAGCCAAAGATAATTGCTACTACCAGTCTCCCGCATCTGAGTCCCATTGTTATTAATTACTATGCTATCCTTTATTCTTCATTCTATTTCATACGTGTATTTCCTTTCCCATTTTCATTGTATGACCTCAAGGTTTTCTCTCTGTTTGCACTATCTACTGATCACCCTGTTGATATCCTACCCCTTCAGTGTATCCATACTACTTCCAAAGTAAGTTTTTGAAAAGTTCCTTTGATTATGCCATGTTGCTACTAAAAATGCCTTTCGTTTCTCCTATTTGGGGGAAAAAAAAAAAAAAGACAAATTTCTTAGGCTGAGCATCAGAGGCCTATTTCTCTGAAGTCTCATCTTCCTTTCCAGATTATCTGCAATTCTGTAGACAGTCTAGGTACAGTGCTTTCTTAAATTGTGCTTTTGTACATGATCTCCTTTGCTAAGAATGACTTTCCCGTCCATCTAGTGAACCTCAAAGCCACTTTACCTTTCTTGGATAGGTTTCTCTCAACTACAAAGTCCAAGTTATAAACTTTCATTTCCGCTGCCTTAGTGGCTTGTTTATACTTTTGATTTTTACATCGAGTTTATAGCTATTATTAATTATTTTTAGTCTCCCAGTGTACCTATTATTTGTTTATTTTTTTATTCACTACCAACTAAATGATAATAATTATTGACTGAACAATGACTACTGAATAAGTAAGGATTTCCAGATGAGTAAGATTTTATCACGTCAAAAGCTGGGACCTGTCATCTATGCTATATTTGTTCTATGGGAGGAATCTATATTTTCAGAAAAAAGATATAGTTGTATATTCTAGAAAAGAATCATCCTAAACTGAATACCTCTTTGATATATTAACAAATACTTTTAGAATGAATGAAAGTTTACTGAATTGTTCCCAAGGTGCCAGTGTGTCAGGCACTGGACATAGGGACAGAACAAGGAAAAGATGGTTCTTATACTCACCAAGATAATGACTGAGTAAGAAGGATAACTTAAAAAGCAATAACAAAGTGTAGTCAGTGCTGTGATAAGGGAAGGCTGATACAGCTAAGTAATCAAGGTTGGTGGGAAGGCTTCTCAGAAAGTGATGTTAATTTTAAGTCCTAAAGGATGAATTGTGCTGTGGTTTGAATCGTAATTTTAAATTAAGTTTTAATTTTAATTTTATGATTTGAATTTTAATTATCAGTTAATTTTAAGTCCTAATGGATAGCCAGACATTATGGTTTAAATATGGTTTATTCCCTCCAAAATTCAAGTTGGAATTGAATTGCTATTGTGAGCTTTTAAAAGGATAAAAATTGAATCTGACTATGGTGTTTTCTGATGAGGTCTTTGGGAGGTGCTTAGTATTAGATCAGGTTGAGGGCATGAAGATTGAATGCCAATGGCTTTATAAGAATAGAAGCCAGAAGCACACACATGCTCCTTGTATTGCCATGTGATACCATTCTCTCACATGCACTCCCTCCATGCCATCTGCCAGGATGTAATACAGCCAAGTGGGTCCTCACCAGATCTAGCACATATACTTTTTTGGACGTCTTAGGCTCCAGAACTGCGAGCTAACTAAATGTCTTTTCTTTCTAAGTTGCCCAATCTGTTATTGTGTTAGTATTAAAACATTAATACACCAGCAAAGATAGTTTACATAAACGGACTAGCATGAGCAAAGGCATGGGAAGAAGGGCATTTTAAAGAAAGTCACTAGGGCTAGCTAGCATACTGAGTTTGCATTGTGTCTATGGGAGCAAGGTGGTCAGAAGTCAGTTTACATAGGCCCCAGGAGCACATTAACTTTATTTACTGAAAAATTTTAAGCTGTAAAAATCACAATCAGACTGGAGTTTTTGAAGGATTGATTTTTAGTGGTTTAGTGTGGAGAATGGATAAGTGGA